GTAAGGGTGGTGTTACAATCCCACCCTAATCCTCTTTAACATAAAATTACAATCACAAAATGGAGGCCAACCACACAATTCTGGGAATCATGGCCCAGCCAAATTGATACACACATTTTTTGGGGGGACATAATTCAAACCATGACAGAGTGTAATGAGTGAATACTACTCCACTCAGAGTAACATTTTGGTGCTCTGATTGTTTCTAATTTCTTATAATTATTAATACCGACAATTAATATTCTTTGTGTATAAAGCTTTTCCTACATTTTAGATATAGGAATTACAGGGTAAATGATATGATCATTCACCAATAAAGCTCTAGATATATATTGCCTGGATAGTGGACAAAATAACTTTAACAATTTTAAATACGTCATCAATATATGAGAGTGACAATTTCACTATATCCTATCCAGCACTGAATGTTCTTTATATTATAACAGCTACTTCTGTGCCATTTCCCCTGTGTGAAAAGGGTAACTGTGTGGGGGCCTTGTACCATTTGTAGCATGGCCTTATGAGCAACTTCCCAGTGTCGAAGATAATGTACACCTTCTACAACAACCACAGCATCTCCGTGACGTACATGAAGTAGACATTTCTGCCTCCATTTAAGTGAGGAAAATGAAGTCCAGCAAGGTTAATTCATTTGCTCAAGGTCATATGGTCAGTGCCAAGCTGTGAGCTGAATCTAGATCTCCCAAATATCCAATATTCTTTCTACTACAGTGACCAGACCAACAAGTGGGTCACATCTTACATGTCTACCTGGATCAACTGGCAGTAACAGCCCACAGCTCTGCGTTGAGCTATGTGGCCTAGTCCAGTCCCAGCTAGAAAGATTGCTATGTGCAATTAAAGAAGTCATTCCCCATGCTGACCTTGTATGCCATATTGCTTCTCAATAGCTTATATATTAAAGCCTATGTAACTTCAAAACCGAAACATAAAACTATGAAAGTAATGCTAAACAGAATAAGTATAAACTATTGAACACAATCATTACACATAGTTGGATGATTTTCTTTGACTTAAAAATATGTTAAAACTCCAAAGAAAGTTTTATCTTGTGTGGCATTAGTTTTTTGGGTTTTTTTTTTCTTTTCTCAAATGTTACTTGAAAAATCAAGAGCAAAGTGATTATAAAACTAAGAATAGGCTTAGCAATTAATATGTATATATTTGTCAAAAATAGTTACCTGATTATCATATTTAAGAGACTGTGTGCCAACCAAAAACCGAATGGCATCTGTTTCTGCAGTTTGAGGTGTTAAAGCACGTGCCTGCAGGAGGGAAAAAAAATACCCATAAACATTTATGAAGCCAGGCTTAATACATACAGATCAAAATGCAGTTTATCTCCTCTACTGTTGATGGAGTATAAATTAGTACAAAGTTTCTGGAAGGCAATTTAGGAATATGTGTTAAAAGTTTCCTACAGTTTTTAACACAATTCTACTTCAAAATTCTAAATGGGCACAAAACTTAAGCAATAAAGATGTAAATTATTTATACTGTATGGTTAAATTTTTTTTAATGTAACCACGATTTTCAGCAGTAATTGACTGATTAAATAATTTATAGTTCAACAGTAGACCAGAATTGGCTTCCAGCAACAGCAGAATAGGTGGTTTAAATCAATTCTTCTGCAGAGGACAACTAGAAAAACTAAACAAAATATTCTAAATCTGTTTGAAGGTCTCAGAGAGCTACAAAGGCAATCAAAAAAATGCCAAGATTCGGAAAAGGAGAGAAGCCTAGAAAGGGAACCCAACACCTGGCCCACTTTTCAAGCAGAGGCATTTGTCAGTTTGGAAAGCCAGCTAAGAGGCTGATACTGAGGAGACCTTTTGACAGATTTATGGTGCTGAGGATACAAAAATAAATAATACGAACCATCAAAAAGGAGAGGTTGGTAAATCTGTTAGGCTTTGGGTTGAAACCCCGAAGGCTTACAGCCTGGGAGTAAAAGTGATCAGTTCTCACACACTAAGGACCAGCTTCAAGTCATCTCAATCCTTGATTGGATTTAAGGTAATCTGGGCTTGCTTGTCTAGCTAGCCTCCTGTCAGAAATAAAAGTAAATCCTCCAGAGGAAGACAGCATCCAAAGTTTCTATAATTTTTCACATATGATGTCTAACACTCAATCAAAAATAATAACTAATCATACAATGAGATAAGATCATATGACCAAAAAACAAGAGACACAACAAGCAATAGAAAAAGACCTACAGAGCATTCAGATAATCAGGATTTTATGGGGAAAATATTAAATGACACAGAAAGTATCAAAAGAAGATGGAAGGAATACACAGAGTCACTATACCAAAAAGGACTGGTCAACATTCAACCATTTCAGGAGGCAGCATATGACCAGGAACCAATGGTACTGAAGGAAGAAGTCCAAGCTGCACTGAAGGCATTGGCAAAAAACGAGGTTCCAGGAACTGACAGAATACCAACTGAGATGTTTCAACAAACGGATGCAAGGCTGGAAGTGCTCACTTGTCTATGCCAAGCAATCTGGAAGACAGCTACCTGGCCAACAAACTGGAAGAGATCCATATTTATAACTATTCCCAAGAAAGGTGAGCCAACCGAATGTGGAAATTATCGAACAATACCATTAGTATCACACGCAAGTAAAATTTTGCTGAAGATCATTCAAACGTGGCTGCAGCAGTATACTGACAGGGAACTGACAGAAATTCAAGCCAGATTCAGAAGAGGACGTGGAACAAGGGATATCATAGCTGATGTCAGATGGATCATGGCTGAAAGCAGAGAATACCAAAAAGATGTTTACCTGTGTTTTACTGCCTATGCAAAGGCATTCAACTGTATGGATCATAACAAATTTATGGATAACATTGTGAAGAATGAGAATTCCAGAACAGTTAATGGTGCTCATGAGGAACCTAAACATAGATCAAGAGGCAGTCATTTGAACAGAACAAGGGGATACTGCAGGGTTTAAAGTCAGGAAAGATGTGTGTCAGGGTTGTATCCTTTCACCATACCTATTCAATCTGTATGCTGAGCAAATAATCTGAGAAGCTGGACTACATGATGAATGCGACATCAGGATTGGAGGAAGATTCATTAACAACCTGCGTTATGCAGATGACACAATCTTGCTTGCTGAAAGCAAAGAGGACTTGAAGCACTTACTGATGAAGATCAAAGACCACAGCCTTCAGTATGGATTACACCTCAACATACAGAAAACAAAAATCCTCACAACTGGACCAATAAGCAACATTATGATAAATGGAGAAAATACTGAAGTTGTCAAGGATTTCATTTTATTTGGATCCACAATCAACACCCATGGAAGCAGCAGTCAAGAAATCAAAAGACACATTGCATTGAGTAAATCTGCTGCAAAAGAGCTCTTTAAAGTGTCAAAAAGCAAAGATGTCACCTTGAAGACTAAGGTACACCTGACCCAAGCCATGGTGTTTTCAATCACCTCATATGCATGTTAAAGCTGGACAATGAATAAGGAAGACTGAAGAACTGACGCCTTTCAATTATGGCATTGGTAAAGAATATTGAATATGCCATGGACTGCCTAAAGAACCAACAGATCTGTCTTGGAAGAAGTACAACCAGAATGCTCCTTAGAAGCAAGGATGGTGAGACTATGTCTGACATACTTTGGACACGTTATCAGGAGGGATCAGTCCCTAGAGAAGGACATCATGCTTGCTAAAGTAGAGCATCATAGAAAAAGGGGAAGACCCTCAAGGAGATGGACTGACCCAGTGGCTGCAACAAGGGGCTCAAGCATAAAAACGATTCTGAGGATGGCATAGGACCGGGCAGTGTTTCGTTCTGTTGTATGAGTCGGAACAAACTCGACAGCACCTAACAACAACAACAAGGTTGAGAAGGGGAGAGTGTACACATGTCTTGGGGTTAGCAACCAATGTCACAAAACAAAATGTGTATTGTTTAATGAGAAACTAGTTTGCTCTGTAAACCTTCATCTAAAGTACAATTAAAAAAAAGAGAAAAAGAAATAAATTACTAAAAAAGAATAACAAAAAAATACATACAAAATCCAAGCCCAAATTTTTAATATTAGATTCAAAGGGCAAAATATTATTCTGTTCAATTGTTATAAAAGTTTCCAAATGCTTAAAAAAAAAAAAAAATACAGGTGAATAATCTGTGTTGAGAGGAAGATTACACAAGTGGCTAATATTATAGATGGGACTAGTACTTCAGGCTTATAAATTCAAATCCAGCTCTCTTTTAGTACAACCATTAACTGTGCCTGGGACAAGTCCCTATAATTCACATTTTGCTGCTTGTGGTAGGCAAAATAATGGCTATCCGGAAATGTTTACATCTTAATCCCTGGAAACTGAATGTTACCTTACATGGCAAAGGGACTCTCAGATCTGATTAAGGGCATTGAGATGGGATTATCTAATCACATGGGTCCTTAGAATTGGAGAGCCTTTACTGGCTGTGGTCAGGAGAGAGCTGTGACTACAGATGAGAGAACCAGAGAGATGGTAGCATGAGAAAAGCTCAGCCAGCCATGGGAGAAGTTGGCAGTCATTGCTGGTTTCTAAGACGGAGGAGGGGGCCCAGGAGCCAAGGAATGTAGGCAGCTTCTAAAAGCTGGAAAATACAAGGAAATAAATTCTCCTCAGAGCCTCCAGGAAAGAACAAAGCTCTACCAACGCCTTGATTTTAGCCTGGTGAGACTCATGTCAAGCTTCTGGCCTACAGAACTGTAAGATAAAAAATGCACTCTTTTAAGCCACTGAACCCACTGCCATCGAGTTGATTCTGACTCCTAGCAACCCTACAGGACAGAGAAGAACTGCCCCATAGAATTTCCAAGGAGCGGCTGTTGGATTCAAACTGCTGACCTTTTGGTTAGCAGCCGAGCTCTTAACCACTATGCCACCAGGGCTCAGAGCCACTAAATTTGTGGTAATTTGTTGAGGTAGTAATAGAAAATGAATGCCCTGCCTCCTATAGTTCACTAAATATGTCCATTCTGTCGGCATTTTTTCTTCACTATGGACCTAGAAACAAGCTTGACCTCCTGTTTCCTAATCTTCTCACATCTAATTCCTTTTTTTTTTTTTCAACTTCTTGAGTCATTCTTTTCAAAACAGAGTAAAAGAAATACCCTGACCATTTAGTCTGTCTGCTTTTGACTTGGTTTCCACAACTGGAGCAAAACAATTGTATCTCCTGGATCTTCAATGCAAAAAAAAAAAAAGTTTAGCTGTATCAATTTTATGCATTATTCTCAGAAAACACAGGCATATTATATATGTTCCTACCCTCCCCCAAAAGAGGCAGTGGCACAAAACAGATCAACTTCTAAAGCACATTTTAATAAAATCATGAATATATGTATCTAAAGCAGTATTCACACTATTAGACATTTGGAGAAAAAAATCCATTTGAGTCAAACTATTTAAAATACTTTTAACATTCTCATTGCCAGTATTCCTACATACCCTCCTGCAAAACTTGGCTTAACAATATTTGGAGTCTTAAATCTCTTTGCAAACTGATGAATTCTTTGTGAATCTATAGAGCTTCTGCCAAAAATGTGCATACATATACATACAATTTTACGTACATCAGTAAGTTCACAGAACGTCTAAACCCTATCAAATTTAAACACCTTTGTGCTTACAGAAAATTGACTTTGACGAGAAGAATCCAAACCATTCCTGAAAGACAAAACCCCACTGCTCAGAGGGCTGAACCCCGATCAGTACAGAGGACAGGTTCTACCTTCAGACAAGAATACTAAGACTTTCAAATGGAGGAATACGTTGTCTTCTCAGATGATAAAAGTCTGAAAGTCTCCTAAAGATAGAACCCAAGAGTAAACTTATTGGAGAGGGAATGAATGAAATTTTCTATGCTTCAAGCCAATAGTTAAGTGTTTTACTATGTAACCCCTACACTGTAGTAGATGCTGTGGGGGATATCAAAGAAGCATAAGACACAGTCCCTGCCCTCAAGAAACTTAGACTTTCATTAGGAAAGAGGAGACAAGACTCAAAAAGATAAAAAGACAAGGCAGTATATGATTAAGTAGCAAAAGTGTGGAACAAACCATAATTACAACAAATCAACATTTATCAAAATGCAGCCACCAGCTCAACTTCAGACAGAAGGCAAGGTTAAATGTCATCACCTTAAAATAGATGAAAAACAAAAGTAAGTAAATTCTATTAGCGGTTGTTATCCTGAAAAAGGACAATTCAGACATGGGGAGCCTATTTGAGTGATAA